CCACCACCCAAATGATGAGTTAGCTTGCCCCCTGCCTACAGAAATGCCACAGAAATTGCCCGCGCATAAATTTGAGTGATCCTCATTCCAAGATAGAAAAGCAAATCATCATTCAAACAGCATGGGAATTACTATGAATTACTGTTGGATCTGTTTTGGTAACCCCTACAAGGTGGGGCCCCGTAGTAAGTTGGTTTACAACCCCCTTAGCCTTTTAGCTATATATCTACATATATTACATTATATTGTATTATATCATATAATATCATATTATATCATGATATATCATAATATATTATATTATATCATATGAAATTATATTATATGAAAGTATATGATATGAAATTATATTATACTATAATCATATTACAATTATTATATTATATTTTATTATATTATATGCAATGTATATATGATTCTATATTAGTGGCGGACAAAATTACTCACTACTCGCAATTGACATGGCCAGAGTGGGTGGTCTCCTATCCGTTGTGAAAGTTTTAACACAAATTTGAACATCCCAAGTCCACTCCCTACTACTTTAGCCACTTTCGCTAATTTTGTCGCTTACTCATATGTAACCTCTGGTAATTTAACATAGCTATTGAAAATGGCAATAGAAATAGTTGATGTTCCCATTGATAGCATGGTGATTTTTCATAGTTTTTTGTACGTTTACCAGAGGGTGTGTATATATATATATATATTATATTATATATTATATATTATATTTTATATATATCTGGCCAAATTACTTTAATTCTTACCTCGTCTTCCTCGTGTCTTAATTTGTTCCCCATGATTACTGTCCTCGTTCGTTAATTTGCAGGTGCAAATTAAGGCTTTACCTCGTTAATTCGAAGGAAGAAAGTAGCTTGTGGGCCTTCTTTCCAGGGTCCAACCCCAAGGAAAAAAAACTTTTCAGCTTCCGAAAAGTTTTTTTCCACGATCCACGGTCTCTTGCAGGGATTTTTAAATCTGAGTCTGATCGGTCTTTGCGCTTCTTGCGCTTGGGTGGTGACATCTCTGACATTATCGCAGAGATGCAATGCTCTTCTGGAGCAACTCTGAATCCTACTGCTTCTGCAGCCGTCAACCCACGAAGCGGGCCTCTGGCGATAGAAAATAAAACTTTTTGGGGCCTGAAAAGTTTTTTTCCTTCCTTGCCTGCTGACCGGCCTCTGGCGATAGAAAATAAAACTTTTTGGGGCCTGAAAAGTTTTTTTTCCTTCCTTGCCTGCTGACCGGCCTCTGGCGATAGAAAATAAAACTTTTTGGGGCCTGAAAAGTTTTTTTTCCTTCCTTGCCTGCTGACCGGCCTCTGGCGATAGAAAATAAAACTTTTTGGGGCCTGAAAAGTTTTTTTTCCTTCCTTGCCTGCTGACCGGCCTCTGGCGATAGAAAATAAAACTTTTTGGGGCCTGAAAAGTTTTTTTTCCTTCCTTGCCTGCTGACTGGCCTCTGGCGATAGAAAATAAAACTTTTTGGGGCCTGAAAAGTTTTTTTTTCCTTCCTTGCCTGCTGACCGGCCTCTGGCGATAGAAAATAAAACTTTTTGGGGCCTGAAAAGTTGTTTGTCCTTCCTTGCCTGCTGACCGGCCTCTGGCGATAGAAAATAAAACTTTTTGGGGCCTGAAAAGTTTTTTTTCCTTCCTTGCCTGCTGACCGGCCTCTGGCGATAGAAAATAAAACTTTTTGGGGCCTGAAAAGTTTTTTTCCTTCCTTGCCTGCTGACCGGCCTCTGGCGATAGAAAATAAAACTTTTTGGGGCCTGAAAAGTTTTTTTTCCTTCCTTGCCTGCTGACCGGCCTCTGGCGATAGAAAATAAAACTTTTTGGGGCCTGAAAAGTTTTTTTCCTTCCTTGCCTGCTGACCGGCCTCTGGCGATAGAAAATAAAACTTTTTGGGGCCTGAAAAGTTTTTTTTCCTTCCTTGCCTGCTGACCGGCCTCTGGCGATAGAAAATAAAACTTTTTGGGGCCTGAAAAGTTTTTTTTCCTTCCTTGCCTGCTGACCGGCCTCTGGCGATAGAAAATAAAACTTTTTGGGGCCTGAAAAGTTTTTTTCCTTCCTTGCCTGCTGACCGGCCTCTGGCGATAGAAAATAAAACTTTTTGGGGCCTGAAAAGTTTTTTTTCCTTCCTTGCCTGCTGACCGGCCTCTGGCCCCCAAAAAAGTTTTTCTAGCCAAGCCCAAGCATGCAACAGAACCAATGCAAGGCTACCTCGTCGAGGTCGGCTAATTCTGATGAGCAAATTAAGGGCTGACCTCGCTAATTCCTGCAACCTGCCTCGTTGCCTCGGCTGTCCTCGCTATAATTTGTGCAGATATATATATATTATATTATATTATATATATATTATATCCCCATGAAACATCATGAAGTTCCACAGAAACTTGTGTAATAACGGAAATGTGAAACCACCAACTTCACTGAGGCAGCACCGGCACCACCGGCAGATGATCCCAAGCGGCTCAAGCTCTTGCAGTTTCTCCTGCGCTGGTCCGCGCACCTACAGCTGAAAATGGAGATGGACCCAATGGCCATGGCCAGCAAATGATACTTGGTGGCTCATCCCACTTAGTAAGTGGGATATAACCCCAGTTATAAGTGGATTAACCCTACTTATCCCATTTATAACTGGGGTTATAACCCACTTACTAAGTGGGATGAGCCACCAAGTAGGGAACATGGATGAACTGATGAAAAACTTTGGTTCTTCCGGTTTTTTCCAAGACTTGGAATCGGAACATCACTGAAAAATTTCCGCAATCCAACGGAATCCCCAATTTGTCTCACGAAAATCTCATGAAATTCACAGAATTCACAGATATCATGATATCCAATGTTTATGATTTGGTTGTTTCTCACCATGCTAAACCCATAAACCCCAAGAGTTGTTTCATGAATTGTTTTTTGTGTTGTTTTTGTCCAATGTTTTTTCCAATGTTTGGAAATTTTCTTAGGACCATACTCCCAGAAAATCCGGAAGATCCTGGCTACGCCCCTAGGCCCCTAGCGCGGCCATCGCCAGAGGCAGCTGCCAGCAGCAGTTGCGCCAACTGCGCGGCTTCCGAAGCCTGGGTTGGGTGCCACAATGGTGGAGTTACCCTCTGGTAATTTAACATAGCTATTGAAAATGGCCATTTTTAATGGGAAAATCCACTATTTCTATGGCCATTTTCAATAGCTATGTTAAATTACCAGAGGGTAAGCCATGAAAATTGTGGTTTAACTTTGGATTTTAACGAAGATCCTGGTTGAACATGGTTTAACCATGGAAAATCAGGGATTGCTTCGCAATGCAATGCCCCACTCGGCTCCATTGGTGCCCCGGCCATGGCTGATCAGTCCTTCCAGCATCCGGAGTTTGGCGGCCCGCTGACGCCAGTTGTGGGGTTCGACCCCAACTGAGCTGAGTTAGACCCTCGAACCATGGACTGGGCTGGGTCAATATCGTCTTAAAGTGCCGCTTAAACAAATTCTTCATAAGAGTTTTGCGTACAAGTCCTGGAATCGAAAATAACAAAATGCCGTTGACCAAAATTGGCGGACACGTGTCCATTTTAGGGCCTTAAATTGGGGTACGGTAGATTTAGGGTCGCAGAAACCAGCCAGTCCCTATCTCGTTTCTTCAGATTGGATCTTGCCAATCAGTGGGGGTCTGGATGGTGGCCACGTTTTCATCAGTTCTGAGCAGCCTGAGCTGCGAAAAGATGTGTGATGCCCAAAATCCATGCGGCCTCAAAACCTGAAAACGCTAAGCATCACATGTTCATGCGCACATCCAATACAACTTTTTTAGCAAAACCAAATGCCTCGCACCATCTATGCACCTATTGATGCTTGTTCCTGACTCTATCTTTTGGAAGCAACGGAAGGGTATATATTAAAACAGGTGGCACCATATGGCTATGGCTCAAAACAACTGACCCCAACAAATGGATGTTGTAGGACTAGTGCGCGGGTGAGAGGGCACAGGTTCCTGGTTCTGACGATTAAGCTGGGGCAGCGCGCCTACCAAGCACAAGGGACGGTGGTGAGTACATAAATCTATTCATATGCTCTACATGAAGTAGATTGATGTAGATATATACAAACATAATACGATATCATATACATGTAATATGTGTATAATATAATATATATATATAATTATATATATATATATATACATGTGTGTACTGTGTGATACGTGATGCAAACATGTCTAACAACTCTAACAACCAACATCACCCACCATGCTCCAATTCGTCCGCCGAATCTGTTCCGCCGCCCTGGTGATTTTCCTCATTCCTCCCCGTTCCTCGAAACACATCAGCTGATTCTCAGCGTTCCAAGTGCCAGCGTTTGAAAAAAGCGGACAATTCTTTGGGGCCATTCACCCATTCAGCCAAAACCAGGAAACAGTGACACTTTTGTGACACTTTTGTATACTTTTGTGACAGGAAGTACTGCAAACCTACCTCTTGTTGACACGGACCTGAGCAACAAACGATTCCCCCGCAAAAACAGGAAAGGAACTGGCCATTCTTGCAACATGGTGTCTTGCAATGTAGGTATTTTGGAAGGGATGGAATGCCTCATTCGTTTGAATCCCGACACATCATTAACTACACAGCCCTGTCTGTCAATCTGATGGATTGTTTCCAAAAATCTTCAGTGCAACCATTGGACATCCGTACACACTCTACTGGCGAATCAAACGAAGATAACCTAAGAGAATCCTACACCTTTTGGTATCAATGAACTTTCTGCTGCCAGCTGCCAGCTTCCAAATCTTCCAAGGTATAGGATTCTGCAGTGATTTCCGCGACATCAAATGACCACAGCCAATGGAACACAGCGGAAGCATTGGAGACACCTGAGACATATATTTGAGATGTTTTAAGATTATTAAACTATGTGTTTTTCCCAGTTTCATAGATGTCCATAGATTTCCATAGATTTTCCATAGATTTTCCATGTTAAGATATTTACATATGTGTCTCATCATTTTCCCAGTTTTCCATAGATTTCCTGGAAAATGGTTCAGTCTGCTGGGTCATCCAGGACTCCTTAACACTATCTGCCACTCACGCGGAGCCAACCTAGGACTTTGACCCTACACACAACAAAAATGGGTAAAGCCGTACTAAGGTTATGGGATTACCATCTGGTGATTTAACAGTTCGCCATGGAAAGATCCACCCATTTTTAAGTTCGGTAAACCATCTATTTCTATGGGCCATCGTAATTACCATGGCTGGCCCTGTTAGTCACCACCAGAGGCTAAATACCAATTTTTGATGGGTAGAATATATCTCTATAGAGTTCACAGTTTACATAACTAATTGGCGGGTGTCTTAAACTGTGGAACCCCGTTCCATCCCCCGTGTGGCATGGACAAAGCCGCGCTTGCGAAGATGCTCAGTCATCTGGTGATTTAAACATGTTTTAACCGTCTGAAAAAATAGTAGTCATTGGGGACAATGGTTTAAAATCCTTTAAAAAAAACTGTTTGCTTTTTTCCCTTAACAACACCTTCCCATAACTTCTCTCCCAGTGCAGTATGTTTCGGAAACCGTTTGGAAAAGCCATTGGAGGTCCTATCACCTACCTGGAAGGAAAATCACCAAACCCGTTGGACATCTGTGGACATCCTTCATGTCAGGAGTATCCTGCAAACTTCAACCCTCCAAACATGCGAGCCTTGCGAGGCCATAAACATGTCATCCATCCCATCCCCGTTTTAGCCTCGGTTTTTTGCCACGCAACTAATATCGAACCATCCTCAGTGGCGGGTGGGATGGTCTGATGTGTATGATCCCACCCTTGTGAATGGGAATGGGACTCCCCAATTCATGGCTACGTAAAAATTCTCTTTGATTTCATTGGCACACATGATTGGTATTGATTGGCTGTTGTGGACAGGCGAGTGATGCGCAAGTGCTACAAGTTCTTGACCCTTTCGCTGTGGGTGAAGACCCTGATCATATCCATATCCATTCAATATGCTTAAAAGATGGAACATTCTGCCAGAATAGAAATCACGTAGGAGTGTTGGTACCCTCTGGTAATGACTAACATAGCTATTGAAAATGACCATAGAAATAGTGGATTTTCCCATTAAAAATGGTGATTTTCCATAGCTATGTTAGTTTACCAGAGGGTACTTCTTTTTTTTGCTATTGAGCCACTCATTTTGGATACGGGGCTGTCCTGCAACACGAACTGGGTAGGGTGATACACTCGGAATTCCCCAAAAGGATAGAGCAGTAATTCATCACTACTTTCGTTGGATTTTGCGGCTTTCCGTTTTGGGGGATTACTTAATAAAAAATGTCCATTCTGAAACATAAGTTCTAGGAGAGTCTCCACCTTATAGAACAGTGCTGTTCTATTGTAAAAGCGGTAAATTATAGGCTCATGGAAATCAATAGCTACAAGTGGGAAAACAATCTACATCAATCGTAGTTATAGGCTCATGAGCCACTGAAATTATATAGGAAAAACATGGAAAAAACATCTACAAGTTCAGGCCATAGAAGATCAGTCCATGGACGGATCAGGACGGAAAATTTCGATGGACGGCGTGTGACTACGGCGTGTGACTAGACACCAGCAACCAATTTTCGAGGATGAAAACAGGACCATTTCATGTGGGAAAGTCATTGGCAAAAACCTACCACTTAAGGGATGGTTGTTGTTTTTTGTGTATATTATCCATTTATGGTAATTGTTTGGATCGTTTATGATTGGGTTTACCACATGATACCTCACATCAATGTGGAGCCCATTGATGGTTCAAACGCCGTAGAAAACCAGAACCAAATTTCATTGGTTGTATATCTATATAACCATGTTGAATCCCAACTTTTTCATGGTGAATTCAGATGTCAAATCCCGTCCGTGTGGTTTAAAATTCCACCCTCCGTGCTGACTGGTTGGAGATTTCTCATGGATTATGATCATCCCTAGCGTCTAAAGGATAGTTCCCAAAATTACTCGCTCCTCCATTAGGATAGTTTTGGGATAGTCTAATTGGGATAGACTATAGGATATTAACTAAAGGATAATTCCAACTATCACATGAATCCCCCCATCTTTTAATTAAGTTGTTCAGCTATATCCACAAACATATCCACAAGCTATTTGAGGGCAAGAGTTTTTGCCAAAACCCGAAGCAAAAAATGACGAACTCATCATCAGAGCAGTGTTCAAAATCCCTCTATCATTCCATTTAATCCTGGTTGGCTTATGGGGATTCCCCGTTCTTGGATTATGAAATAATCCTCAATATACTGTATTGGGTATACTTGGTGGCGAACTACCCACTGCTCGTAAGTGGGTTAGTTCACCCCAGTTTTTTGAGTGGATTAACCCGCTCCTTATCCCATTTATAATTGGGGTTATAACCCACTTACTAAGTGGGATGAGCCGCCAAGTAATCCCCGAACTAGTCATCAACAGGGCTGGGCTCCCCTGCTGCGTCGCCTGCCGCAAGATGTAGAGCTCCGGCATGCCGTGCAGCGGTCCCAGCGCCGTCACAGAGATCTGCGACGGGGGCGGCGGGGCGGGGCTGTGCCACGGGTCTGGGATGGGATGGAAAGGGACGAAACTGGATGTTTTCCAATGGGAAAACCTATGGTTTTTGGTACTTCTAACAGTTCTAAATAGTTCAAACACATATAATACAAAATCTAAGACGTACTTAAAAATTGTTCACAAATAAACAACATCCGCTCTTAAGTGGCGAAGAGCCACGTGAGCTAATGATGGGCTTCCGTGGGAAAAGCCCGAGTTCTTCCAGAATCTAGAATGAAGTTGGGGATCCACATTTATGGTGGATACATGCGGATACGATTTCTCGAAAGTGCCATGGTTTCCCATGTTTTCCTTTTTCGCAGTTCAGTCAGGAGCTTGAGTTCATGGTCTTGGCTAAAGAGCCAGTGAGTGAAGCCCAAAAAACGACGAACGAATCCCAGTTCGTCACAGGCAGTGCTGGCAGGATCGTGGTGAATCCATGTTCCTAAATGCATCGAAAAACCATTCTAGATAGACATTCTAGATAGAATAGCTGTATATAGAATACTAATCCCCCAAAACATCGAAAAGTATAGAAAAGTGAATATTCACCAATTAAGAGGGGGTTTACTTTTCATGACTTTTCTATCTTTTCAGGGATGATATACACTCATCATGCACAGCAGCCGGATCAGCGATTTTGCAGGAATCCTCACATACTCTAAACATGACATGTGTGCGCCCCACTCTCAAAATGACACAATTCAAACTAGAGCGAATCACAAAAAAAATAGAAAACATATGGAGAAAACAACCAGAATCCGCTTCTGTGATTATTTTTAAAATACTTTTGATGGGACTATGAGTCTATGATCTCAGCTATTCCCTGATTTTCCAAGGCATGGGCACCTCCTGGTCGTTGAGGTACTTGTATGCCACTCGTTTCACCTGGCTACCCATTCGGAGCTACCAAGCACTTTTTTATTTCCGGCCTACGTCAGGGATCATCCCCATGCTGCTTGGTTGTTTCCAACTCCCAAACAACACGCTTGTCAATTTGGATCATTATTCCCAACATAGTGAACCTATGTGAACCTCATCGGGCTTTTTTGGATAGTCTGGCTGCGTTTGCGGCCGAAAATCAGGATTTTCCGGTGACATCTGGTGACCCAAAAAAAAGACAGCTCTTGACCTCCAAATGGAGATCAACCATGGAAAAGGCGAAAAAAACACTGACCTAGTCACAAAATTGATGGTTCAGGATTCGCTTGTCGCAACACTTGACATGAATCATAAATCTATAAATATATATATATATATATTTATTTATATCAAATATACATATATATATAATATACATATATATATATATATCAAATATACATATATATATATCAAATATACATATATATATATATATATCAAATATACATATATATATATATATATCAAAATCTGCCTGCCATGCCGCATACCAGGCCATTAGGTAACAGATACCAGTGGCAGTGTTCAAAGCCAATGTTCGAAAAAATGATTCTACGGAAGTATACTACCCCAATTACATGTTGGTGATCATAATCCTGTATGGGAACCCCTACATGAATATCAGTTGAAGCAATAGTAGCTCATCCCGAAATAACTACACTTTCTAGGTCCGGCTAGGAGTTATTCCATATTAAACCACGGGAACAATAAATATATGGATTGAATAATGATTGTTTTACTAACATGATCCATGATTATCTCATGAGATTAATTATTGGATTATAAAAACCACCATAAAAACTAACCATATATATAATATATATAATATTCATATCTCATATGGTTATAGATTTAAAAAAAAAAACAAAAACATTAGTTAATTATTATCCATTACAGTAGTTAATTATGATTGTCTATATAGATATCAAAAAATACATATCATATGGTTACTTAGTGGCTCATCCCACTTAGTAAGTGGGCTATAACCCCAGTTATAAATGGGATAAGTAGGGTTAATCCACTTACAAATGGGCTTATAATATCTTATGATCCACTTACTAAGATCGCCACCAAGTATTTTAATTATTCCCATAAAAACCACCATATACATCCATTATAATATACAGTAACCAGCATTTTCATTGGTTTTTGCGGCCTCTTCTGCATCCACGGCCTCGATTCGAAGCCTCAGCACCCATCAAAACTCATGAGGAAATTTTATGGCCAACTCATGGGGAAATCGCGATCGGATCTTCCAGTTGCAGTTGGTGCAAACTGCGGCCCTTTGTGAAGAATATGGCTTTGTTCCGACATGGAGGATACCTCAGAAATCACCGTTTTCGGAAATGATGCAATTTTTTCGAACAGAGGGTGCACCCTAAAAACTGGCTGGTTACAACTGGTATTTTCGTCCAACTCACAAAAAGCCATCGTTTCATGGTCAATTCCCACAAAAAGCAAGGCTATCTCGCCATCCCAAAAATACCACAAATATGGGGTAACTCCAATGGTGTACTGGAAAAAAAACTCCATCTGAGACAGCTGATTTTGGTAAAACATCCACAGCTGGGTACCCAAACATCATCTCTGCTGGTGGCACACCGCGGCCATAGGTCAGCACTTCCTTTCCAACCTGGAGGTGTGGGGGTAGATCAAGCATACTTCATCATACTTCAATATACTTCAAAAGCGGTGGACATTCAAAAAAAATCGACATTATTTGGATCTATTTGGACTAATCCCATCACCCGTTCATATTAAACACCCCATAAACCTATGGTCCCAATTAATTATGTGGGCCCATTCCCTACATCCACCATGGTTTCTACAATGTGGGGCCCCCCAGTTATAAGTTGGTCTATAATCCCCAGTAACTAGTTCGTTATATGTACCATAAACCACAGTTATTGGAGTTATTAACCAACTTCGCTATTGTTTGGGGGTAGGGGTGTTTTTCATATTGGGGGGTTGACATTTTTATGAAACTCAGATCAGGACGATCGACCACGAGGAAAACCCGCCTGGTTGCAACTTTCCTGGGTGCTTCCCGAACCTGGTCGCGACGCGACCCATGGTGGAGATTGGTGGAGCATTCTTCATGTCCCAAAAAAAAGTGTGAAGGGCTACAAGTTGTTGTTTCTACAAAGAATATCCCGCAATAACAAGACATTACAAGACATTGTGGATGATTGTGGATTCATCCTGGCTTTCCTCCGTCATCTCCATATGTCATCCTCTTTGGAAACCAGCGAAACCAGGCTAGTTTCACCCAATGGGTCTCCCTGCCATTCACCAGCGTAGCTTTCAACTCCCTCTTGGCACGCTCCACCTAAAAGTGCTTCAAAAACAGCGTGGCAAATTCCCTTCAAAACGGCAAGATCACTCGAAAAAATGAGAGTCTTCTAAGACATCAATCATATTTTTCCATATATTGGGAATATCATCATCCCAACTGACTAATATTTTTCAGAGGGGTAGGTCAACCACCAGCCATCATCAATGCAGCAATTCAGTGCGCAACAACTTGGCTGACACCGGATGCTGGGGGGGTTCTGAAAATAGGGCGACCCCCAGTGATCATCCATATGTTCATAGGGCATTTTCCAGTACCCTCTGGTAAACATACAAGTTCACTATGGAAAATCACCATTTTCAATGGGTAAATCCACTATTTCGACTGGGCCATTTTCAATAGCTTTTTGTTAGTCATAACCAGAGGGTAACCATCCTGTAATCATCCATAAATCGGGGTCCACTTAGGAAACCTCCATATGATTTGGTCATCTTGTCACCCCTGAAGCACCCCCATCTTTCACCGAGATTGCCGACCTCCTCGTCTGTGACGGAGAAGGAGAGCAAGTTGATGTTGAACATCAGCTCGCCGATGGCATGTTCCACCGCGACCTGTACACGAAAAACCGGTGAAACCGTGTTCAACCATGGCTTGTGTGCCTGGCTTTGTCTGTATATTCAGAATGTTCATGATACATATTTGCATTCATACACTAATATTGCCTGAATATTCTGTCATGGAACCTATTATATAATCCTATATACTGTTTACACATGTTTACACATGTTTGCACCAGAAAATAATGTTGATACGCCTCACGTCTTGTTGAAAACACTTCCTTCCGACTTCCTTTTTTATCAGGCGGACTGAAAGAACAGCATGCCAGGCAAAAAGGGAAAGGGCCGGGTATATACAGAACTGATTTCACCAACATGTGGAAGAAATTTGGTCTTCAATGTCTCAAAAGAGCCGGGAAGCTTCACTTCAAAGTCATTGATGAGCCAAAGTTTGGCAACAATGAAAAACACCAGGAGCACAGAGCACATATGTTCTCCTAGCAACCGTTCTACGTGCTTTGCATTAGGCATCATAAGCTGTCCCAGGCAGCCCCCTGTAATTTGAACTGGATCAAAGGCAAAATGTGTCTTTCAGCGACGTGATAATATGGTTTTGTCAAAAAATCGGGGACAAAGTCTAGAATTTGAACTCAAGGAAGAACATGATACATATCGCCATACCATATTTTCAGGAGAATACAGAAAAAATGACTGATAGATGGTGGTTCTTAAAATGGGGGATCCCCAAGTCACCATGGGCTTCCTAGACTTGTCGAATGACTTGGATGATTTGAGGTACCCCAATTCCGCCCAGCGCCTCATCGCACACAATGTAGAAGCCAAATCTTGGGAAACGCCGCAGCATTTCAAAAAGACAAGGGCAGACAAGGGCACAAAAAACCAACATGGAAGGAATTGTTGGTCTCAAGTTGGTCTCAAGAAGTTTGTTGTGCAAAATCCCTATTATTAATTAACGGATGACCAAAAAACGGAAGCATCACGCAAAAGGCTGCTTTGTCTATAATACCTATTAATACCATTTTTAGTGGGATGAACATCCATTTACCAGCTATTTTGGGGTTCACTAGGTACCAGGGTTTTGACCCATCCCCATTTCAATGGCACCAGGTTTCAACCCAACAACAGCTTCGACTGACATTTTGTGACAGCAGGTGAGAAAAACTCGATCAAAAAGGCGATGTTTGAGAGTCCAGCAGGCCAGTGTCCTTGTAAAACTGGATGAATGCTTCATACTCCTGCGAAAAAGTGTTGGCCAGTGGACACAGATGCAAACCTTTGGATGAAAAAACTGGTCTGCTTGTGTTGATGGTTTAATGCGTCCCTGAGAAGTGTCCGGTTTGGGAAAGGTACATCTCTCATTTTGATCGATTTTTCCATGTTTCCTCCAGTCTTCCATTGTGTTCATCGATGTTTCCATGATTTTATCCCACAACCTGGCAATGGAATGTCATCTTCATCTGTGATTTTCATTGATTTCCTCCTGTTTGTGGTATTTCATCAGGGGAGTACCCTACGGTAAACTAACAGTTCGCCGTGAATGTCGATCATGTTCCGTTGACTTCTTCGAACTTTGGATTCGTTGACTTTTCCAGATCATGAAAACCACGATATTAAGCCACGAAAAGTCAACATCCAAAGTTGGAATAACACCAAGTTAACAATTGGAATAACACTTTTTCCACTATTATCCACTATAATCTGTTAACATTGGATAAACACTACTGTGGATGGGCCAGCGAAATCCTGCACCTGTTGATAGATGGTAAACATCCCAATATTTATAGGATTTCAACATGTTTCAAGCATCCTTTTGGTGGTGCAGGATTTCGCAACCATCCACAGTATGAAGCCCATGTCCTCCGCACAGCCAACACCTTGGAGTCGTCTTTGAGGAAACAAATGGGAATCCAAAGATCATTTTCGGTGAATCTAAATAGTTTAACCAACTATATGGATGAACTCATCTAACTCATCTTCAGGTATAATTCAGTTGTTTAATCGAAAATGTTATTTGTGAATTGATGGGGATCTATAGCAATTAATAGGGCTTGATATTCCAAGAATAATCTAAATCCCTATGAAAATAGATTGAACATATATTGATACCCAGCTTCCAATATGGGCAAGTTACGCAAGTTACCCAACTTTTGACCATGGCTGCTTCTATCATACTGGGATAAGCTCATGGGGGTTATATAGTGGCTCATACTGTGGATGGAAGAAATCCTGCACCACCAAAAGGATGGTTGGCACCCTATAAATAATGGGATAAACGATCTATCAACTGGTGCAGGATTTCTTCCATCCACAGTATGCGTCTATCATATATTCCACTGATGTGGCGATGTCACCTTTGAGTACACCGCCAAATGTCCTCGTATCATTTTCTGATCTTTCCCAAAGATTGCAACATCCTCTTGCAGGCTGTAGCCCAAATATGCCCAAACGATGTTGCTTTGTTAGCTACAGCCTTATCATTTGGCGGTTGAGCCATCCCAAAAATGTCACCCAATCGTGGATCCAATCATCATTGGTAAGGAAGCTACTACTGCATGCTAATGCGCCGAAAAGCCTGGGTCCAGCAAGAATATGGAAAACCCTCGACTTGAAAAAACTTCACTGAGTCTACACTGAAAGACTGGAAAAGCTGTGGGTGAGCAGGTTTTTTAATGTCATGAATTAGGCCATACTTTGGCATCTTTTGTCTGTGGAAAGCTAGGGAAAACAGAAACTATTCATAACTATTCACTAAATTGGAATTGCATGCAGAAACTACTTGGAACTCATCACCAAATGCATAGGAATGACTCATGAACCAAAATATCACCATCATCTGGTGACTTCCGGCAGCTGGTCGCCCCAAAATGGGGAAGTCACTAATGTCATTCCCATGGCTAACTAAAAGAATTGGGGGGGGCACTAATACATTATTTCATAGGGCCCTTCAATACATTATTTGAATTTATTTGATACAGTATTATGATAAGTCATTATTATATTATACATTTAACCACCATGTATGATGTTTTTTGCTGTCACATAAGCACTATGTGATTTCTCTGGGCTTCGCAACGACACCTTCAGCGGACCCACGGCTGCATTGTGCTGGGTCAGCGCACCCATTTTGTTAGCCACTGCATTGACGCAGCGGTTGCCTGGAAGACAACTCGCAGGTGACTTCTCGACCCATTGACCAATCCAATGGATATAATATGTGTATATAATGGTAGTAGAGGATAAAGGAATCGTATAAAGGAATAGTGAATTGATGTGAATTGTATATAGTACTATTATCATATATACTCCTTATAGATTATAGATAGTGGATTGGTACACTCAATATACTCAATGAAAAAAGGGATAAAACCAAATGGCCGATCCTTGTGAAGAAAACTATCAAAGAGTCGCTTCGCAAAAGTCCTTGGACCAATCTTTTGTTGGATCTATTTGAAGAGCAGCCAATGCTCAATGTGGTTCTTGTCAGCTTCCAATTTTTGGACCCCGAACGTTAGAGCCGCAATCTTTCTTGATCACCTAATTTCTTGATCTTCAAGAATTTACAAACTTGAGACGTCATGGACCAGAAATCCCTGTCAAATCAGCCCAAAAGCAAGGAATCACAGGTTCCACGGATACCCCTGTGATCACTTGGAAGTGCAGTTCCAGTTACAGTATACCTACTGTATAGGGCTTTCCCAACTGCTGGCGGTGCACAACCAGTGCTGTCCATGTGTCCAGGTCTCCCCTCTCGATCATTGGGACATGGGCGGAACAACATCTGGATGGTTTCAGCGAGGTTTGGGGCCTCCTCTGCACCTCACCACCATATCCCGGCCTGAGATGTTACCCGGGACTAATCCCACATTCTTCTTGTACTTTCCGATGATCGCCTGCCGCTCCGCCAACATCTGGGAATGGGCTGAAAATTTCACGCGGAGGGACCTGTGATCATGGGTTTACCCTGAAAAAAAAACCTAGTGGATCGACTCAGACACGATGTTCATTTTGAGAAGACACATGTCATGGAGACTGCGGTACCGGTGTTTCTTTCGGGATCTTTTTGGGGCCTGCCAACAGCTGGAAGAGCGTCGCAGGTTCAAAAAAAAAACACAAAATGAAACTGGCTCACTCAAGCCGCGCGAAAGCTTTTTCGCAAAAGAGGCAACAAGTTGCTACGCGTTTCGCCCTCCAAGGGGCTCTTCCTGGCAATTGCCTCGAAATTGGATAAAGCTGCGGTCCAATATGCAGTAAGTGTTTCTTTCCACATATCTGCACAAGGACCTGATGTGACATCAAGTGGTTTTTTATGCGCGGAAGAGCGTCGCAGGTTCAAACTAAATGATCAAATCTACAGTGAGAGCCTTTTGGAACCGCAACAAAGATGGAATGAAAAATGGCAAAAATGCGAAGACCAGGAAGACAAACGCAAAACATCAGCTTTTGTTAGTTGGGTGTGCACTCATCGATGATTTTGCCCTTGGATCATTGAGATTTTTTGGGGGTCTAGCATGGTCTAGCCATCCAGCGTCGCTTCCCCATCTTCGCCTGCATCACCATGAAAGTGACGGCATCTGGACCTCGGAAAACCCCACGGTTTTCCCGGGCATAGCTACACCGAAGATGGCTGAGTTTGGTAGACTTCGGGCTAGCCATTTTCCACCTAGGACGGTAACCATACAGTTGAGATCCCAGCTCTTGTAGGGAACAGCCTCCCAGGCTGTAGAAATGTAGGCCAAGGGGCCCATCTCGTCGTTGCGGTACAAGAGCTGCAGGCGGCTGATGCAACACTTCAGTGGCTTCCAACAGGGCCAGGTGACTCTGGTTTCACCATCATGGGGAACCCCAAAAGTCGACCTCTTTAAACCCAGTACTTAAGATTCGCCCCTTAAAGCCAAAAATCATTTTTGGGTTACCGACCTGGTGGTTAAATCGGTGAATTTTCCATGGGTTTTTTTGATCCGAAAAACCAGACCGCAGCCTGCGCACCGCAGAAGTACGGCTTAGTGCTGTAGGATTTTGGTGCTCCTGCCTGGAAATTTCCCACGAGCAACCCGCGGCCGCTCAAAATATGGGCAGTTTAAAGGAAACTTTGCTGGAAACCCTGGTTCCGCATGGTTCCTATGGGCTTCCATTTCCAGCGGAACAGCTTGCATACCTCCTTTCACTGTTAGTTTTCAGGAGGGTACATCGTCAAACATCTCCATATGTTTCGTTGAAACCCAATGTTCATTTGTCCAAAACTTGGTGCTTTCTTTTCTGAAACTTCCTTTCATGAGACAACTTTGGTGCAAAATGGGCAAAGTAGTGGGACGTGATTCGGCACACTGCTGCTAACAGCGTCACAAAACAACATGGCAAGACTGGGGATCCCAGTGGATGTCAGTGACTTCATGGTTCCAATATGTTCCCAACGATTCCCAATGTCAAAGATCCATCTTTGTTACCCTCTGGTTATGACTAACGTAGCCATGGAAAATCACCATGTTTAAGTTCGGTAAACCATCTATAAATGGGTCATCTATACCATGGCTATGTTAAATAACCAGAGGGTAAATGATCCATTCACCATAAAAAAGAGGAGATGAGGATGGGTCATGGGGATGCGTCACGTCACCGACGTTTGTACAGAACCCCTTCTCTTCACATCAATCAAGGCTGGGATTTATAGGATCTTCATCCCCCGAAATACAGTAGCTGGTATTTATAGGGCTATGTCATAGGTATTGATCCATGGCCATATCAGCTTGAAAAAAATCACAAAATCCCCATGAAGTCGGCGGCACCTTGACTCCTCCGAAGGCCTTCTCGGCCAACTTCACCAAGTCTGCGTGCTTCACCGCTCCTGGGAATCCCCCACGAATGAAGGGGGCGTCATTTTTCCATAAAAAAAAAATGGGGCGTCATATCCAGAAAAAATGGGGCTTAAAAATGGAGCATTCTGAAACGGAGAAGTCATACGTTGTTTGTTGGTAAAAACCATATTCTGAAATGGGGAGATAGAGCAAATATCATATGACATACCTTCCATGTGAGACCCCAATTCAGCAATAGATCCACTACTGAACCATGGTTTCATTTGGGTGGTATCTTTTTTGGGGGGAAGAGATTCGTTGAGCCATGGTTTCGATCCGCCACATTTGTTTTTCTTGGATGATCTTGGCCAAAGTTGACCCAAAAAATGGGATGGTCATGATGGTCTACACAAAAAAAACACCAGAAACCCTGTGGCGGGGTCTTTCATTTTGACCCTGGGACCCTGGCCGATGCCGGATTTTCTGATCAACGATGGGATGGTTGCTGTTTTTCTGGATTCCCATGGGAGCTGTAGAGAAGCTGTAGACAATCCCCAAAGAAGTTGGTATTTCAATCTTAAGCATACCGTGTCAAACCATGTCATACCCAACAACTTTCGGGGAAAAATTAGTCGAAGAATCTCTAGTGAAACGGCAAGTCAAAAGGCACATTGATCTGGCATCGCAAAGTCATGGAAAGCCAAGTCCAGAAGATTCATTCGCTTTGGCATCTTGGCATCTGAGCAGGGCCATGCTTTCCAGTCATGGTTTTCGGAGAACGGGAATGTCGACCAGCAGAGAAACCGGTTCTTTTTCTCCGCCAAACATGGGCCATAATGTTGGACATGACTGAAATAAGCAGATCAAAATATCATCAACCATCATCAACAATTAATAACCATTGATAATCATCAATAGCCATTAACTACCATGACTAACGCATATGACCAACTCCTTTTTGGAAGGGAACGTAGCCATCGCCACTTCAGGTCTCACCATCAGCCGCGAGTCCTGATGCCGCCAAGACCATCTTGTCGGCCGTGAAGTTACTTTCGACGTGCTTCTTCAAATGCTCCTGCCGCCACGATTTCGGAGCGAATTTCGGGGGATTTTTTCAGGAATCTGAACAAAGCCCAGCCAAAAAAAAGGGCTTCAGTTTGTTTCGCATCTGTGTTCATACTCTTCGTGAATTCATATGAATTCATTCTAGTTCAGTTGAGTCCCTAACCTATTGTGATACGGCAATCCCATCGCCGTTATCAAACACCCTCTAATCCCAAATGTGGGATTTCATCCCCTACATTCCACCATGCTTTCTGGGGGCCTTTTGAATATGAAGGGATGATGCGTCTATGTTATATCATGTATATCATGTATATATGTATATATATATATGCATTGGATACATAGTAACTCCCAAAAGAGGTAGAAAAGTTGCGAAACTTGCAGTTAAGTAGAAAGTCTCATCTACCCTCTGGTAATTTAACATAGCTATTGAAAATGACCATTTATAGCTGATTTATCCATTCAAAATGGTGATTTTCCATAGCTATGTTAGCTTACCAGAGGGTATACAATGTGGGGCCCCCTAGTTATATAAGTTGGTTTATAACACCCATTAACTAGTTCGTTATATCTGCCATAAACCATAGGTTTAATGGGAGTTATAAACCAACTTAGCTAACGAACTGGGGCACCACCTTGTACCATCCTGATTTCCGTGCCGTGCCTGGCTCAGGCTGTCGATATTTTCGAAGGGTCCAACGGTGGAGAAGCCCAGAGAATAGTCCCGGAAGGCGCAGGCGTGCAGCCTATGGCGACCCGGAGCAATGGATTTTTTAATACCCAAGGACCATCAAGTAGCATCAAGTTGCCAAGTACCCTCTGGTAAACTAGCATAGCTATGGAAAATCACCATTTTTAATGGGAAAATTCACTATAAATGGCCATTTTCAATAGCTATGTTAGTTTACCAGAGGGTATTCAAAAACCAACAAAAAACCAACAAAAAGAAAAATTGTTCCAGTTATATATAAATTGTTATAAATTATAAGTAGATAAGCTGAACAAATTGGGGTTATGATCATGTGAGATCCCAATTTGTGGGGGTACCATGGTTACACGCATCAAAGTAACCTCAACTACACTCCCAAGTAGACCTTGCATCATGGCTCACATGGGCAGTGGAGTCTCCCACGATAGAACATGAAAAAGAAACAAAAAGCCTAGATTTTATTTTAATGTGCAACCCGAAGAATGGGTCCAATGGCGCCCATTCTGAGAAACAACAAACAACAACCGGATCAGATCCGGTTGTTCCTCCATTTCCTCCTGTTCTCAGTGCTTTGGTGGTTGATCATCCCGGTTCAGTTGGGGCTTCCCCAAGCGAACAGATAGGATGGTCGTTCACCGTGCCTGTCATCGATCACCTTTCGCGTGTCTTGCTCAGTTTCCTTGCAGAGGGAAAAGGATCGGTGATGAAAAAAAGGTGACTTTGTGTTGGAAATATATGGAAATATCTTCTTGCGGGTGATAATTATCACACATTGGGGTGTGTAAAATGACACTGACCAATCGGATGCTGATTGATCGTGCGACCCAAATGCCAAAGTGTAGGGGGGAAGCAACCCACTTCTAGCCGGTAGTGCTTGTAATGCTGTGGCGTCACCGGTGCAGCAAGGACTGCTCCTCAAATGCCCTGTGAACTTCTTTGGCTTCATTGTGCTTTACTGTCTTATACTGGCTTACATAGCTCACGGTTACTGAGCCCATGAAGGTGTCACCCGGAAGGAATGGACCGGAATGGAAGAGCAAAATATTTGAGAGAAACAGTCCCAACCACACAGGCATCGCGGCATCACCTTATCCGGATTATTTTAGATAAATCCGCAACTTACAACTTCATTTATTATGGTTAACTGTTAATTAACCACCTTATCCAGATCATTTTAGATAAATCCGCAACTTGATTTATGATGAAAACTTAAACCCCTGGCTGCCATTGGCTGATTTCCCCAAGTGATTTCCCCAGCACCACCAGGTCAAGCAATCTCCTCGAGTTTCCGCAGGATGTTGGCTTTTTCCTTGGCATAGTTGGCCAAAGCCTGAGGCGCAAAGGAGTGACTGGGCATGGTGGGCATGGTGGGCATGGTGGGCATGGCCATGATGATATGAGCACCGTAGGTCATTCCCAAATACCCTCTGGTTATGTCAAAATAGCTATTGAAAGTGGCCCAGTCGAAATAGTTGATTTACCCAGCTATAAAATGGTGATGTTCCATAGTTTTTTGTATGTTTACCAGAGGGTAATTCTTTGCTGTCACTTTCAACTAGGATTTTGGTGATACCCTCCGGTAAGCTAACACTTTGCCATTGAAAATGGCCCAGTTAGTTCGTTGAGTTACCGTTGTTAAAAGTGGTGATTGTCCATAGTTTCTTATGTGTTTACCTTTGGTATCCTTTGGTGATATCACTTGAACAGCTCTTGCAGCTGATCATGTTTCCTAATGTGGTAAACCCTAACCTCCAATTGCGGATCGTTGTACATACAATGGATTTCTGCTGAATTTAAGGGATGGTTTCTTATTGGGTTCACGATATTGGTTCTGATACCTAAACATCATATAACATCATATTATAAGGTTTTATATACCCTCTGGTAAACTAACATAACTATGGAAAATCACCATTTTTAATGGGTAAATCCACTATAAATGGCCATTTTCAATAGCTATGCTAGTCATTACCAGAGGGTATATATCCCATTATCCCCAGAAGATGGTTACCCATAAGGTTCCCAAGTTCGCCCAAACGCCACGTCCCACGCGGTAACCGCGGCGTGGGCGTTGTCTGGGCAAAAGGGCTGGCTTCGTCACCATGTCTGACAAGATGTCTACACCCTGGCATCGAGTAGCACTGGAAAAAAAGGGACAGCGACAAGAATTTAAAGCCTCGTGAAAAAAGCTTCCCAGACTCGAGTTTTTTTGTTTGCAGTTTTTTTGTGGATTCTATATGAAACAAAACATGAAACAATCCAGCTATACCCAGTTAAATTTAACACATTTAACCCCGCAAATATCAATATCCCAGATATCCACATCGCTGTCATGGCCTGAGCAAGATCGCTCTTGAAGACGGTCATATTAAAGCTCGAACTGAGCAGATCGAGTCGTCGCCGTTTCGTCGACTCATTTGCTGAACAGAAAATATACCAAATTTAAATCTATGAATATATAATATTTAGATGAATATAATATATAAATATCTATAAATATATAAATGTTAAATCTATAATATATATATAATATCTGAATTAAACTATTCATAAATATAAATTGCTGATTCAGAATTTGACCCCCAGACATCTTCCAATACCCTGCGATGTTCTTTGCAATACCCTGCGATGCGATTCCAATCCGGTGATCCGTTTTTTCCAGATGGTCATGGCATTCCATTGGCATAAAGAAAAGCTCTTTCAAAGTAGCCTCTGGTAATGACTAACAGTTTGCGAACTTGACAATGGAAATAGAAATAGTTGATTTACCCATTAAAAATATTTAAAAATGGTGATTTTCTATAGTTTTTTTGTATGTTTACCAGGCCGGGTAACCCGTGAAACCTCCAGTTTTGTTCAAATTTCATCCAAATAAAAAACCTCAACGACACCTACGTTGAACTTCTGCAATCTGCGGCAATTTTGAGGCAGCCACTGTTCCCGACCATAGCTGAGATCCAGAGTGGCTCCAATGGACCTTAGTGAAAACAGGATTGGTTCACATCCTTTACATAATGGATGAGACTGAGGGAAACTAATGCAAATCACAAGATTAAAAAAAAACACAACTGAAAAGGGATTGATCATGGGAATCAAATTCTGTTCAATGGATGGGTAAATGCCACACGGGACATATGCAACAGACACAAACATGATCCGCAATCGTCATGGAGAATAATTGGGAATAATGGTGGAAATACGAAGCTACAACGCTACAACCGGAGATGTAGAACTCTACGGATTTTTCTCAGGATGACTGTGGATCAAAATGGATATGGATATGAGAATGGGGATGATGACGGGAATGATAGTGATATATAGTGACATGATATCTGCAACTTGGTGTCGTGGTGTGTCGTTTTGGGATTGTTTTTTTACTGGGACCAATTTTACACATGGGGTGTGGGAAATGAGGCTAGAGCCTGTTCTCCCTATTTGGTCGATCCAAGCAATGTGCAAAATCGGATCAAGTCAATGTCCCCGCGAAAAAAAAACAAAAAAAAACAATCAATAGGGCTAGAACAAACCATTTTAATGGGAAAATGACATAAGTTATGACCCATGAATCACGGTTGAATTAACCGGCAAACGATGGGGAATAAATAGCCCATGAATCATGTAGGCTTACATGACACTTGATGATCTGACCAACGAACAAACGAGGGATACAGCCACTGAATAGTGGGGATAGGCAGCAACAGAAAAGGGAACAAGACACAAATTATTGGCTGGAATGCGCTGTTTTATCAACTCTCGGATCCCTATACCATCTATGATAGTCGCGAGCCGCGAGCAAATGGTAAGTATAGAGTATCTGCGCAAAGTGTGGTTGAGACCGCTGAGTAAAGTTGCCATGTAACAGTTCAACAAGGGCAACAACGGGTTTTGCTTAGAACTCTGGGTGATTCTATAGTAATTCCCAAAAAGATAGAAAAGTACCCTCTGGTAATTTAACATAGCTATTGAACATGGCTATTTATAGTGGATTTTCCCATTAAAAATGGTGATTTTCAATAGCTATGTTAGTCATTACCAGAGGGTAATTCATCTTTCGTGGCAGCATGGTGCAAGCTGCAGGAAACCATGGTGTGGCCACAGTGAACCGAGTGTCTGTGCAGACACCGAGATGGATCACACGTAGCTTGCGATCAGAGGGATTCCCAAGTGCATATAATTGCATACATACGCAATCATATTAATGATATATTAATGATATATTAATGATATATTAATGATATATTAATGATATATTAATGATATATTAATGATACATTATGATATATTGCAATATGTAGTAAGTATATGTAAGTAAATAAATATATGTACGGTACATGGTATTTCATAGCTGCATAGACAAACAACACCCACATGCACAGCTGACATCGGGCGGGCTGGGCAGTGCAGACTCGATGTCAGATTCCAATTTCGCGCGGGGCCTGCACCGTGGCACCGAATAGGAAAATGAGGGTTTTTTACCTCCAAAACTTACTGGTGCTAAACGCAGGGAATGAGGGAATGATCCACTAGCTAACTATCAATAATCATCCCAGCAACCCCCAGATCCCCCAGCAACCCATCCATTCCCTACGTAAAACGCACCAGTAAGAAAATATCGAGGGATCATGGGCCGGGATCCTGCAAAATATCCTCAACCATGTCCCGGAGGGGCCTTGACACATCCATCACAGAGTGACTGGACTCTTTGAAAAACGAAACCCTTTCGAAACGGTTTCTTCCTTAGTGAAGAAAACGAAAAAAACGTGTCCTTGTTTGGAGCAACCAACAAGAGCAAAAAAGGGTCCTCGTTTTTTGAAGACATGCAGTACCCCAAAGACGTGCGTCATTCCTCGGACCTGTTTAACCGTTGGGTTCCGTTGGTTCCGGAGTTTGATGAGTCGATCTTGATGTGACTCTCCTCATTGATAAGAAACAATAGTGTTGTTGAGCCACAAGAAATTCGTCACTTGCTTCAAACATCTAAAAAAACCCAAGAAAACTCGCCACTTCGCTTCATCCCAAAGAACAAGCCCGAACTGCGGGCTTGCTGTCACCACACGCCTGACCCCAAGTATGGTCCAGTGCGAAGTTCTCAAGATCCAACGATTTATTGAATCCCACTAGTGGCCATGTCCTAATCCTTAAGAATCATTTTTTGCACTCGATCGGCTTTAGGGAGTACAGGAAACTGGTTTTTAGAAGTTTTTAGTACCTCCAAATTCTGCTGTCCTGCAAGAATTTTCCCAGCAATTCTAAGAGACTTTTGTATCCCCATATGTGGGTTTCCATATTTTTTCTGTACCCAAAAATGGATGGTTTACAACGGAAAATCCTACTCAAATCATCTAAAATTGATGATTTTGGGGTACCCCCATGACTTAAGAAACCCAAAAATGGGCCCCAGGATGGGCCCCAGGAGATCCACCTAGTGGCAGTCCCGGTGAGCGTCAGCTGCTCCAAGACGGCAGTGGCACCTGGGAAAAGCCGCCAGGAATCCCACCTTTTTGCGGGAAAAGTATAGGAAACCTGTAGAAAACCCATAGAAAATCACCTACTTTGCCTAAGTTCCATTTCTTGTGATTCAAGGAGTAAATTTCACATATTTCACATCCTCATCTTTAGAGCACGACATTGAAATCATTGTTCAAGTGTTAAAGATCACCAAACACACACAGCTCTCAGGGTGCACTTTCCACTCTAATACTTTGCGACCGGTTTCCGAACTTGCGAATGGGCAAAAACAGCATCCTCCAGAAAAAGAAGTGATGTCAGACATATACTGTAGGATACCTCCACAACCAGGCCAGTTTGGCTGCCAACGCTCCGGTTGTTGCATGGGCGTTCAAATTTTGTTTTCATAATATTTCACACCGATCTATATCATAGAATATTGTATGCGTATAATACATGCATGTATTTATATATATATATATAAATATAGATATATAATAGATATCTTATAATTATACTCCTTGTTGAACTGTTTTTTTGGTGCCTGTCTGCAACCCAAAAATTGTTCATTGATCTCTCTTCCATAGCCCCAGCCCTTGTTGTGACCTCGGGTTTCGAGGCTTTCATCGCGCACCTCGATGTCGAAAATGCAGGGATTCGAATGGTCCGGAAAGGATACATGAAAGTCATGGAAGTCATGTTTCATATCTACCAGCTGGTTATTTAACATAGCCATGGTATAGATGGCCCATAGAAATAGATGGTTTACCTGTGTTTACCTATAAAAAATGGTGATTTTCCATGGCTATGTTAAATAACCAGATGGTAAACCTGACTTCATTCCGGAATATGTTAGCCATCAAAACTTGCGAGATTAGTATTAGTTATTAATCCATATTAATCCTAAACCAGTGGGATACAAACCTGTGAAGATGGTTGGTTAGGGTAGTTGATTGTTTTATCTTAACTCTGTGACACCATTCATACATCTATTTGGGTGTCTAATAATTCACAAGCCTGAAGATAGTTGTTATCATGCGGCTATTTGCTGATGATTTCCCCGAATCCAATTCCCATTTATTCTCATCATTCGAGTGACGTCACAACGTAAGGTCAAAATCAAATTCATCCAAATATATCCCCATTTTATCACCATTTTTGTTGGTTAACTCCCAAATTGTCCTGCCTGAATCACAATGAAATTATCCATGATATGCCATTAATCTCATTTTCAAACGCTACTATGGTTGGTTATATCCCATTATCAAAGGAGGTTTCATGGAGGAAACTCCCAGTTACGGACTTTCACATTCTCACTAGCCCAAAGATCATTGTGTCCAGTTGGCACCTGCGTTAAGAGATCATGAAGTCACAGTCTCACTAGCACAAAGATCATTGTGTCCAGTTGGCACCTGCGTTAAGAGATCATGAAGTCACATTCTCACTAGCCCAGAGATCATTGTGTCCAGTTGGCACCTGTGTAGAGGTAGAGTGGAGGTAGTAGAGAAGAGGTAGAGTAGATGTAGAGTAGACGTAGAGTGGAGTACAGTAGCGTAGGGTAGACAAGAGTTTGCAAGGGGAGAGGTAGAGGCGGAGGTAAAGGTTGAGTAGAAGGAGAGTAGAGGTAGAGTAGAGGCAGAGTAGTGAGTAGAGGTGGGTAGAGGTAGAGTAGAGGTAGAATAAAGCTGTGTAGGGTAGAGAAGAGTAGAGCATAGCAGAGTAGCGTAGAGAAGCGGAGAGATGAGTAGAATATAGTAGGGCAGAGTAAAGGTGCGTATAGAGTAGACGAGGGCATTGAAACTGCTACATCATAGCGGTAGAGTAGCAGTTGGGTAGGGGTAGAGGTTGAGCAGGGTAGAGTCGAGAAAAGTAGTAGGGAAGAGACAGTGGAACGGCTGCGCCAAAGCTGCTCGAAGGGTACTTGTTCTTCAGTAGATTCTTGCGATCCTGATTGCGTTTTGCAAGTCACAGGTGGCAGATCGCATTGGAACTGCTACATCATGGATGCGATTTGAATGTTAGGATTTGCACGAAACATTGCGGTTTTTTCGGGTAAACGGAGGTTCCGTTGCAGAGAAAAGTTGGCTCGCGTGTGCGGCGGTTTCGGGCGTCGCCGCTTTGCCGCCGATTCCTGTTCGATTTGTGCGCGCAGTGGAACAGAGGGTTCCAGGTGACTTTTTCTCCTCCTTGTTGATGCTGTGCTATTGTGCTTTGCATGTCTTGAGACACTTTGTGCATTGGAACTGGTGCATCAAAGCGATGTGTTCTACAGTGGCGTGTTGCAATTCTATTGTGTTGTGAAATTCAGCCTGTGCAGATCGCGGTGTCTCGAAAGGTACTGTACTTGGTCTCTAGTAGTGTCTTGCGATTCTGATTGTGTTTGGCAAGTCATTGTTGGCAGATCGCAGCGGAATTGTTACATCATTGCGGTTTGAATGTTAGGATTTGCACGAAACATTGCATTTTTTCTGGTAAACGGAGGTTCCGTTGCAGAGAAAAATCGGCTCGCGCGCGCGCGGCGGTTTCGGGCGTTGCCGCTTTGCCGCCGATTCCTGTTCGATTTGCGGCGCAGTGGAACTGAGGGTTCCAGGTGACTTTTTCTCTTCTTTGTTGATGCTGTGCTCTTGTGCTTTGCATGTGTTCAGACACTTTGTGCATTCGAACTGGTGCATCAAAGCAATGTGTTCTACAGTGGTGTGTTGCAAGTCTTTTATGTTTGGCAACTCAGTCTCTGCACATCGCTGTGGAATGGCTGCGTCAAGGTTTCTCGCTGCTGCGGGTGCGTGCGGAGTACTATTGTGTTTTGCAGCTGAGAGTCGTATATCGTCATATAATGGCAACATGAAAGATGCGAAGGGTGCTTTGGCAGCAATTGTTTCTTCATTTTGGCGCTGATGATTTTCCTTTTAAAAATCCTTTTAAGAAGTGTTTCAAAATCGACATTTTTCCGCTTGGGCGTGGTGCCGGTTTTGGGGCTGCAATTTGTGTAGCCGTTGTGCGTAATTCTATTGTGTGTTTTGCAACTCAGTCTCTGCAGATCGCCATGGGATGGCTGCGTCCAGGTTCCTGGCTGCTGCGGCTGCGTGCAGAATACTTTTATAAAATGTCTTTTGCAAGCTGGGAATCGTAAATTGTAAAATGTAGTGGCTCCATGAAGGTTGCGAATGGTGCTTTGGCAGCAGATATTTCTCATTTTTGGCGCAACCTGTGTAGCAGCTTCTCTGTGTAAAAGCTTGCTTTGTGTAAAAGCTTCTCTTCTCTGTTGCTGTGTGTATAAGCTTTTCTGTGCAAAAGCTTGCTTTGTGTAAAAGCTTCTCTATGTAAAAGCTTGCTGTGTGTAAGAGCTTCTCGGTGTAAAAGCTTGTTTTGTGTAAAAGCCTCTCTGTGCAAAAGCTTCTCTGTGTAAGAGCTTGCTTTATGTAAAAGCTTCTCTGTGCAAGGGCTTCTCTGTGCAAACTTTGCTCTGTGAAAAGGCTTGCTCTGTGTAACATCTTCTCTGTGTAAAAGTTTCCCTGTGTAAAAGCTTGCTGTGTGTAAAAGCTTGCTGTGTGTAAAAGCCTGCTTTGTGTAAAAGCTTCTCTATGCAAATCCTTGCGCTGTGAAAAAGCTTGCTCTGTGTAAAAGCCTCTCTTTGTGTAAGAGCTTAATGGCTTAATGTGAAGCTTCTCTGTGTAAAATTTTGCTGTGTGTAAAAGCTTGCTTTGTGTGAAAGCTTCTCTGTGTAAAAGCTTTCTCTGTGAAAAAGTTGCTCTGTGTAAAAGCTTCTCTGTGTAAAATCTTTTCTGTGTAAAAGCTTCTCTTTGTGTAAGAGCTTATATACTCTGAAGCGTCTCTGTGTAAAATGTTGCTGTGTAAAAGCTTGCTTTGTGTAAGAGCTTCTCTGTGTAATAGCTTGCTCTGTGAAAAAGCTTGCTCTGTGTAAAAGCTTCTCTGTGTAAAAGCTTCTCTGTGTGAAAGCTTCCTGTGTGCAAAAGTTTCTATGTGCAAAAGCTTCTCTGTGTGAAAGCTTCCTGTGTGTAACAGCTCGTATGTGTAAGAGCTTGCTGTGTGTAAGAGCTCGTCTGTGTAAGAGCTTGCTGTGTGTAAATGCTTCTCCATGTAAAAGCTTACTCTGTGTGTAAGCATCTCTGTGACGGTAGGTGAGAAGAGTTGAGAAGAGTTGGCCAGAGTTGAGAAGGTGAGAAGAGTTGAGATGAGCTGAGCGGAGGTGAGAAGAGGTGGGAAGAGCTGAAGCAAGAGGTGAGAAGAGTTGAGACAAGTTGAGAAGAGTTGAGAAGACTTAAGACAAGGTGGGCATAGGTGAGAGTCGTTGACAAGAGTTGAGAAGAGCAGGGAAGAGGTGAAAAGAGTTGAGCTGAGGTGGGAAGAGATGAAACAACCTTGAGAGCTGTTGAAAAGAGTTGCGAAAATTGAAATGCTGAGATGGTCTGAGAAGAGTTGAGAAGTGGTGGTCACAATTGAAAATGGGTGAGGCAAAGTGACGACGAATTCACAGAACAGAGTTAAGAAGCTGTGAGGGTCCGCTGCATCTCCTTTAGACAAACCTTGTCTTTGGATCCTATAACTATAGCGTTACACTTCTTAAACCTGGAAACTTCCGCCACCCGCCTTGTGCGGGTTCTACTTGTATGCAGAGTCTTTTTGGTTAATTCACCAATTTATACCGACCTATTCATATCTGGTAGTAGCTAACAGGGGCGTTGGGCTCTGCTTCCCCACTGGGACGTGCCCCCGGCAGATTTCCTGTGGTGAAGAGCATGAGTGCCCCTTCACTGACCCCCCTCCGCAAAAAATAATTTATGGATGCATGTGTATATATATATACATATATATATACATATATATATACATATATATATATGGTGCAGCGTTGGCCACCCCCCCTCCCCCCCCCACCAATGGGTATGGGTGGACAGTATCGTCTGGTTCTTCTGGTCCCCCCCCTGTGGCCTGTGGTGGTGGTATGTTGGTATGTTGGTATGTTGGTATGCTGGTATGTATGCTGGTATGTATGTATGTATGTAT